TTTTTCCCGGGAATTTATATTGTTTATAATCATTATTTCGTTTACTTTTTTCCGTTCGAGAAAAGAAATCAGTGTTGCAAAAGAAAGAAAAAAGTTTATAAAAATGCTCGAGAGCATTTAGATCTTTATTGTTATCTTTTTTTGTGATATCTTTAATGTTTTGCAATGGATATAGAGATCAAATTATTTGCCTAAACAAGGGAACAATTTTTGATCTGGCGACCTCCAAACGGCAAGTCACTTTTTTTTGTTTTGCAATATCATCAAATTAGAAAGAAAGGTGTGATATGTCGATTTCGAAAAAGATACATCTTTTGCTCAAAAATAAATCCGATATCCCTATCAAATCGCATTCATAATGTAAACTCGTATTTCCGGCCAAAACTGTATATCTTACGATAAGTCACGATAAGTATTAATGGCATATGCAGATCAGCAAAGTGGTATCTACATTTAGTACTATATAGCGTACGTGGGAGAAATTTTTAATTCATGGAAACTTTCGAACATTTGCATCTCTGTACGCAGTTTATACATATACGAGTAATATTATACTTTTACACGTAATTATTTTGCAAGAATAATTTTGCAGCAATACATTTTCTATTTGCGTGTCCAAAATTATTCCAAGAAAAATTGTTAAAAAACTTTGTTTATCCCCTACTTTGTTTATCTAATTACAATGTATATCTAATTACAATGTATCCATCACGTTACAATGAAGTAGGTATAAATTCTTTAGAATTCATCCCCTCTGCAGAAAAAATCGTATTTAACGCGAGAACGGCAAGAGAAATCATTAATAAACACCTTCACTTTCGGAACACCTTGTATATTATGAAAAAGCACAATAGGCAACAATACATGCGAATCTCGTAATGCTATCGCGAGAAAAAGAGAAATCGATTTTGTAAAAAACAAGGCCAAAGTTTTGAAAATTTGCCAATTTGCAATTTTCTGTCGGCTTGATCATCTAAACTGAGATCATCTAAACATCTGTAAATCTCGAAAGTTATTGCAATCTTATTATCATGATGTTGCAATTTTTTACAACTAAACACTGAGGTTGTGTTAAGCTTGGAAAAGTCGACTTTTTTAACCTTGGCAGAATTTTAGCGTTTAATTATAAAAAATTGCAACATCATGTTTATTACAAAAAATAACGGAAAAAGTAACGCTTCCCAATTCTGAAAAAATGTATGTAAATGAAAATGATTCATCTACACACATTAATAATTTAATGTCGATTAAATTGTATCTCGCTATCCGGCGTCAATCATTCCCGTCAATATTATTAATTATTTACCGTTCAATTCTCGAACGAACGTTAATAGCATACAATTTTTCTGCTGTCGAAAACCTCCGACCGGATACCTTTAATTAATTTAACGAGCGTCCGTTAGAACGTTTATATTATACGTATTATATCTTGATCTTGTATAATGAGGAAGAGAGATACTTACCTCCGAGTGATCCTTTCGTGAACATCCTCTTAATAATCGCGGTTTTGTCAGTGTAGGCGTCGACGTCAGCGACGTTGCTGCACACGCGCCGAAATTCGCGAAAGGAGTCATCCTTCGACGGGACTTTGCTCTTTCCCTGCTTATCAACCTTCTGCTTATCTTTTTCTTTATCATCTGTTGCGACCCTCTTCTGATCTGAAGTCTTCTTCGCTGTTTCTCCCGAAGAATTATTAGAGGCAGCCGCTTTACGTGGCGTTGCAGCTTTCTTCGGTGTTTTAGTCGGAACTAGAAGGAAAAATTGACACACTTTTTTTTTAATACTATTAATTCATTATAATACAAAGCAATAATTTCGTTTCTATAATTTTAAATTAAAATTGTGAAAAAAAATTAAAATTATAAAATTTTAATTTTTTTTTTAATATGAAAGAGTTCGGCTAAGCCATAATTATCTCGTTTATTAATTCTAATTTTATTTTGCTCATTATTTTACTTCACAAATTTTACGTATTTTATAATCTTTCTAAAACATTTGATTTGTATTTTTGGAATTTAAATGAAAAAAATTTAATATATTTATTATCAAAATGATATTAATCGTAATAAAATTGATAAAATGCTAATAAATTTCGTTTCGAAGATAAGCATTAATCGATTAAATTTAATGTAATGACGAAATTTCTCAACAAATCTTCCTACGTACATTGGAAATAGTATCCACCTTCGCAAACTGATTTCTAATTACAGGATGAAGTTACGCAATATAACACGTTGTAATTTCGTATCTCAATATCGATGAACTTTTCTACCCTCGAGAATGACAATCTCATAAATGATTATCTTATAAGCGTCGAACTTCTTGAAACTTACCGTCGCAAAGCTCGAATTGTAAGGGAGAAAATTTATTAGAAATTTCGAAGAGGAAAGCCTTTGACTGATTTCTCCATACAAGATCGCGCAACTTCGCTTCGAGATGATGCAAAGAATATGATCGATTACATTCGAACGTTAATTCGTTCCAAGAAATCTCTAGATGGAGTGACGGATCTACAGATAAGAATGAAGCTCAAGTCTTATACGACATGTAGGATCTCAAAAAGATCAGATGTTCCTTTAATCGTACATTCTTTCAATTCGAAATTAATTTTTTTCTTAACAAAAATATATAATAATAATTTACGAATCATATGCGATTGATAAAGAAAACTTTACAAACTGTACTTTAGGAAATCAAAGCAAATTTTTATACTTCTAGCTAATCTTATCTGCAGTTAATGGGATCTTAAAGATATAGATATAATATAGATATAGATAAAAATCATTCCGTGATGCTGCACAGAAAGAACGTAATTATTTTTGATGGTTCAAATAGAATTATTCTTGGATCTACGCGGAAAGAACAATTTTGTTGAAAGATCTAAAAATAATTTTGTTGAAAACTTAAACTGGTTGCTAGAATATAAAATTCTTTTGCAGCATTGCTCTCATCATTTTTTAATTTCCAAAATAATTATTTTAATGGCCGAACAAAACTATTTTCACATCTTTTGTGTAGCTAAATTTTTGGATACTTCAGCAAAACCGTTCTTTCTGTGATGAAATATTGACAATAAATCATGGAGGGAAAGAGCTGTTTCCTCCCGATAATTACAGGATCTTTCAAATTCCTCCAACTTGTCCTGGATAATCTTCTTGTCATCGTCGGACAATTGCTCCCAGCCTTTGATATCCTCCGCGGGATCCTCGATCCTCTTTGTGCTGGCGCGTTGTTTCGCGAACGCCTCGAACAGGCAAATGACGTGGTGCCAGGCTGGCATCAGTTTGCCGTCCGAGAAGAAACTCGCCACATACTTGGCGATACGTATCTCGTCCTTTTCAATCGGACATTTGCACTTTTTGCATTTCGCACGGCCGGTTTTCGCGCGCTCCACAGCGAACGGTTTCTCTTCCCCTTGCTGCTGTTGATCCTCGTCATCAGTCGGCATGATGTTCAACGCGGTTGGCAGAACCGAATTTAGGCAGAACGAAGAAAACTCTATTTTTGAATAAAAGAACAATAAATAAAAAAGGTTACATGAACATTGAATCGGAATAAAATTAATTCGTTCGAATAGAATATTGAAATCAGTTCAAGTTAATATGATTCAGGTCATTAATTAATTTATTGATAGCAGAGAGTTTATTTATGATACATGAAAAATACATTACACACACAAATTAGAATAAGATTATTAATTTTTAAATTAGAAAAATAAAGCCTCATTTCATATTCTTAATTTGTTTCTTCGCACAGAATCATTATTAACCCACACACATACAATTACAGGACCCTTGTGTAAATTTATGTGCATGTCGCATTAATAAGTACTCTTGAGTACTCTTGCAAGGTTTCTACATGTGGCTCTCTCCTTCTTTTTCCCTCTCTCTCTTCCTCCTGATCATTGTTTTGTGCATTACAACGTTCAAACTGAGTAACTGGGGTACAAGGATCAATTATAAATCTATCACGGGTACACTGCCTTCCAGATAGTTCTACATTAATTCCGCATGCAAGCTAAGCAGCTCGTTCAGAGGAACGAAACAAAGCGAGGGTGTAAATTGTAGTTGCGCAAGCCGCCGTACTATACAGTCGCAAATACTGTGCACGTGTAATGGAGCATTAGGTAATAAAGCCCAAACAGACGTACAGCGCGGGATTCTCCATTACAATACACGTGGATATAGATGACAATCGAGGTTGCTTTCATAATCTGTTCTTATTTTAAGCAACCTTAAGTAATATTTTAAAACCTTAATGCAACCGTCTGATTGACTTACGACATTTTAAGATTGTAGTTAAGACAGTCTCAAATAATCGACTAGGAGTGATCTTTATCTGACGAAAACAAAGTGAACACTAAAATTAACGCAGAAAACTGTGCGTATTTTCTTTAATATACCATATTTAATATTAATATATATTTAATTAGTTTTGATAATGATATGTATACGTTTCGGTTCCAGTTTGAGTCTTCATTAGCAACATTAAATCTTGCTAATTATCAAAACTAGTAATAATAATGAAATATATTTTTAAAAAATACGTATCGTGCGTTGACTCCTAACTTTGACTCCTGACGCAGTCGCAATGTCGAAAGCTTTCGTACAATAATCTACAATTATATTAAGCTCTCATTAGGAAACAACTCGAATACAATAATCCTCGGAGTAGCATGGATCAGCATAGACACGCTTTAAATAGCATTTCTCTATCTTTCTGACTCTCGTCGAGAAGAGATATCGCGAATGGGACGATTCTCGCTGGTCTTATCTGTCGGCAGATATTGGACGGTTCGTTCCCAATCGTCCATCGAGGTTGATCGAGATCGAGGATGCTTGGATTTATTTACTCACAGAACTCTAAGAATTTCGTCAGACGCGAGATTTCGCGCAAGGAGGAAGAGAGGAAAGGAACGGAAGATGAAGAAGGAGGGAGAGGAGGAGGAATCTTCTCATAGAAAATCTCGATTATACTCTTCCTCTCCGTAATCGCGTGTACTCTCCATCCCTTCCACTCTGTGTTGCGATAAGGAACGATCACGAGTATTACCATCTGTCCGAGACACATGATGTACACATAGAAAAATATATACTGTACACAAGTAATAATTATTACTTGTTTCAAATATTTCGAAAATTCATATATCCGCAAATCTATTAAAGTTCATCTCAAGCATCATTCAAAATATATTCTGAAAAAGTCTTAGTTTCATGCTTCATTCAAAATTAAATTAAAATAAATTTTATAATATTCCTCAAAAGAAAATAAATTCTTATTCTGACTACGTTAATAATGAGTTTCTTTAAAATTTATAATAAATGTATTTTATAAGATTATTATTGTCTATTAAAGATAACTTAAAAGGAAGTAAATTGAATAATCACTTTTCTCAACCATAAATTGATGTTTTTCTCGGTGTGAAACACCGAATGTTACTAAACGTCTAATTATAAACATTCGATCATCAGTACTGATTTGTGACCGGATTTCGTATACGCATTTTCTCGCGATCGCGCTAAAACGTAATCTTCGTCTTCCCACGCTTAAATGCACGCCTAAATTTCCTAGACAGAATTCAGACTTCGGAGAATTTGCGCGTCGAAGGCGAGCTATCCCGTTCGCCTTCGATGTTGGTTTGTTTTCATTGCATCGAGATTATCGGTAGCTTTATAATGCGCGTCATTTTCCTCGTCATCATTGTAATCAATGCGTCGCAGTTAAATGAAATAAAAAATTCATGAGGCAGACAATTAAAGCGGAAATCCGAACTGGATTCGAACAATCCCCGACTAAGGTTACTATATCTGAATCACAAAAAAGGAATACATATACTTTTTAGAAAATGATGAGAATGGAGGGGAGGGAGTAGAACTTTTTTACACATTAAATTTAGGTATTTAATAAAATAAAATAATTTCTAAAACATAATTTTTATTGTTCTCATAATTCTTTTCGAAATAATTTTATAAATGCAATATGTTAATGACCAAAAATTTCGTGACCATAAAAAGAGTTTTAAAAAACCTGCTAACTCTATCTCCGATGGAGTAATAAAAACATGCGAGATAACGAAATTTTGCTAACAACGAATCGTAATACGTGACGATCCAAATAAATGATTAATAAATTCTTTAGTGTATATACTCATTAAGAAAAAAAAAGCATTTAATTCTTCGATGATGGTAGATATATTAATCTCAATATTATAAATCTGTTTGTAAAAAATGTAAAATGTACAATTTTTTATGTTATATCTGCAAATTTGGATTATTTTTATTAAAATATATTTACTTATAATATAATAGTATTTATTGTTTTTTTACGAATATTTACTCATTCTTTATATTATGTCATTTTGGTTTTTTTTTAATTAATGAAAGTCTTTTAATCAACATATATTAGATTGGTTCTTTGAAATTATCAATGCCTTTTAATTAACAAGTTAAATAGATTTTACAAACTCAGCGTCAATAACTGTACTACAAATTTTTGCGTCAACTCCAGAGGATTAATATAGGACAAACAAAAAATTAAGGTCAAAGATAGAAATGATTTTCCATTTTGATAATTGCACTAAGAAAAAATTGACTAGAATAATTTAATTCATCTTTATTTCTTTTGTTGAAAAACTTTTGTTGTATATTTGACTTAAATAATAATTCTCCAACGAAAGAAATAAAGATGAACTAAATTATTATAATCAAATAAAAATTTTTATTCTCAATGTAGGTAATTTACTTTTGTACTTTTGTACAAGTCATCATTTATAATACATCTATAACTTTTTGTTTATGTACATTCATGTATTCATTCCGTACGCGAAGTTATTAAAGGCAGATTTATCGAAAGAAAAAACTTTGTATGAAATATTTTATCCACAAGATATATTATCTCGTTTGGACAAAAAATATGAGATAAAAATTTTTTCTTGTAAGACATCCATTTTCGACTATCTTATCCGAATACTTTCTTTCATGTACAGAATAATGAGGAACGGATTTGTGATTCCATGCGAAATATAAGCAAATTAATGTCAAAATTTGTAATAAAGTTACTGAAGCTGAAGTCTATAAAATCCATTTAATTTACGTTAATTAAAAGACGCTGATTAATTTCAAAGAACCAAAGTAACACACTCGTACAAAGAACAAATATAAATACTAATATAAATATAAATATAAGTACTATATCGAAAATCGCTTTTATACTTTTATAAAGATTATCGCTTTAATTTTTTTTTTATGTTTTATTTATCAAAGATAACAAAAAAGATTTCTCTTTTATTATTTTTTACTTTTGATGTACAAAATCTAAAAATGGTTCTTTTATTTTTTATTTTTTATCTTTTATTTATTATTTATTTTTATTTATTATATATTTAGTATTAGACGCTTCAAAATTTATTAGAAAAATATTTAGTATTAGTAAATTTACTTTCAGCAAAACTTTAGTTGTGGCATTTTTTAACACAAATATTTTTGTTTTGTACAAAATAAATTTTTCTGCTATGTAAATAACAAAAATATTTGTTTGTACTAAAGCTAAACAATTTAATTTGCAAAAAATTAGTTCAACCAAAATTTTGTTGTTAAGTATAGTATTTGATTCATAGAACAAAATATTTTTCCTACTATTATTCACGCCGTAAGTAAGATTACTAGTAATTAACGCTTAAGAAATTATATTCCCTTCTTTCGTCCTCGAATTATCATTTTTTTTTTTAAGTAAGTTTTTTTTGTGTATTTTTTTCTTGCAATTCAGATATCGTAACTCTAGCCATAAGAAATTACAAGTCACAAATGCGATTTGACGTAAAGGAATGTCTCACTGAAAATCGAAAACTACTCGATGCAACAACGATCGGATATACAATTCCATTCACACGGTACCCGGTTTTCCTTGGATTCGAAGAGTAGAATATCAAGTACGATGTAATTCTAACGATGCGGTCAAGGAGAATTATTTGTAAATAGTAAACGTGCTTGGGGTGCACGTCACGTATATTCGCTGTTTGACATTTGTCGACGAAGAAACGAGGGTCACGTAAGGCGGGGGTCGCGAATAGTCCTTCTTCTTTTTCTGCGTCGTGTCGGACGTACTACAGGGCGGTTAGGTGAGATCTGTCCGGAGGGCGGAAGGCGAAAGGTGGAAGGCGGCACAGGGGTGCGGAGGAGGACACCGGCGCGGGTATAATAGAGGGTGCAACAGCCCTTCGTAGCTCATTCTACCACTGCGTGTCGTATCGTATATCGTCGGCGAGATAGAGCGCGAGTTCTCGGCGAGGTTCGACCACAGTAAGTTACGTTCGCGCGATCCCAATTAAAGTCCTGGCAGGACTTCCGTCTACGGCTTGCATTCCTCGACGCGTTTCTTTATTTAACGGTAAATTAAACGATATCGTAAAATGGAGTGATTTTTGGTCCAAATTTTGATAAAATGCCCAGATTGCATGTATGTCAAACTCAGAGCTTAAGGCGTCTTATCATCATAGATTAATTGTAATCTCGCTCTAACTTTAACTTGCTCTTCATTCCTTTCTAATTTTTAGAACTAGAAAAGGAAAAAGAGTTAGTTAATTGAGATTAAAATTAAATTGCATACATTAATAAAAACGAGCATTAATCTCTGCTATTCTGTTCGGGTTTATTTAATTCCAAATTTATTTTTTTTTCTTATTAATATTTATTTAAAAATTTAAATTTTTTCTCTGATATTGATGATTTTGTTTCTTAATGTACGATGTTTATTTCTCTGAAATTTTTTACTTTTTAGAGCTTTTTATAATCATATTAACTTAAATGATAAGATAGTATAGAAATTTAAATAAGTCAGCATAGAGACGTTTTATGATGTCTGATATCCCGATTTTGGATATACTGCTGTTTAAGCATTTTTTTAATTTCAGCCAAAGTTATCTCGATCTCTCTGAAATATTCGTTGAACACAAATCTAACAGATACATATTTTTTTATAACGGTTCAATTTCAAATTCAAGGAACAAAACAGTCTCCAAAATTTCATGGTAATAGAATATTTTCAAAATATTAGATTTTGATTAGAACAACAAAATTTTTTAATTAAAAAGTACAAAACATTTCTCTCAGAGTTTGTCAATAAAGCTAATTACTGTGTTATAATTATTTTGATGGTCCAACAACATTATTTTTAAATCTGTATTCAAATTTTCAGATACTTTAGCAAAATCGTCTTTTCTGTGTTCCGATAAATAAACCGCCAGATCATCTGCGTCGAACGCGAGCGAATTGGTTTCTAATCGTTTTGTTTGCGACGCGAACGTTGCAATGCACTCGTCCTCGCGGCCGCGAATAATAGCGCGAAATCCATCTAGAATCTATAAATAATAGTTAAACGAGGCGCGTCGCATCTCTTTTTCTCTCTCTCTCTCTCTCTCTCTTTCTCTCTTTCATTTTTCAAGCAGTGGCGATTTCTGATGATTTCTCTAAATTTACAGTGAAATCTCACTCCAAGAAAGTGAAAATACAATTACCCTTGAAAAAAAGTGAAAATATTTCATTTCTTGAAAAAAAAAAGTGACAATTTTCACTCTTTTCAGTGTGAATTTTCACTTCAAAGGAGAAATCTCACTCGAAAAAAAAAGTGAGGTTTCACTCTAAAAGAGTGAAGATCGTTACTTTTTTTTTAAAGAATGATTGCATTTTCATTCTCTTGGAGTGAGATTTCATTGAGACTGCAAGCAATTAGAGGAATTAGAGTATACATTCATCATTATTTTCTTCTATCATTGTTATGATCACCGGCGTGACGCGCGACGTGTTCTCGCACATCTGTCGCTATCGCTTTCCCACTATCATCATCCGTACGTGACGCGCGATATCGCGCAATTTCGTGTCCGACGATCCCGCTCTCTCGCACTGGATTTTATTTCGTTATCATGTGACACGCGATAATGCCGTATCGGTCAAGAGGATAATCCGCGATAACCCTTGGCCCTCGCTCGCGGATCGTACTAAAACTCCCGCCCGTTCCCGCCTCCTTACACCTAAGATTCGGTCCATGACGGGGCAAAAATCAATTAGACCAATACGAAATTTAATCATCGCTATTAACAAATGCCTTCTACTTGAATCTCCCACGCAACGTGAATACGCGGATAACCCGCGAGAACTTTTTATCTTTCGACCGGAGATGAGAGGAACATCAGAGTGCATGTGATACAATCGTCAATAATTGTGTTTTCTCTTAATTTTCTCATCCTCACTGTTTGCGAGGTACCAATGTAGCGAAAATTCTTCCCGGTTATATTCAATTGTTTTTCTAAACTTATTTGTGCCCCCTACTTTGTTACATATTTTTCTTATATAAATTGGCTGGTATTGCTCAATTTCTTACGACTTGAAATTTAAAGCTTAAGTCAGGCCTGTCCAATTTCAGCTCCGGAATCAAAATGCAAAGCCATTTATGCAAAAAAAATCAATAGATAAGATTTCGGAGACTGTAAAGTATTGAGCGAAGGTTATTAACACTTTACAGTCCATGACATCTTACATTGAATTTTTTTACGTCGATAGCTTTACGTTTTGGCTTTGGTTCTGTCAAATTAGACAGACTTGGCTTATTGTAGAAAAAATTTACTAAATTTTAATAAATATTTCTTTGAATAGTACTAGCTGAATATTTACTGAATATATTTAAAACATATATTTAAAAAAACCATTAGTTTTTAATTGTCGTTTCTTTATTTATCTAAATATTTATTTACTATAAGTAAATATTCAACTAGTATTATTCAAAGAAATATTTATTAAAATTTAATAAATTTTATGTTTAGTGTATCAGAGAAGATAACCAAAGTCCTTGAATCAAATAACTTTTGTCATTTTTAATTTACATGTCAAAATGTAAATCAATTTCTATGATAGTTTCAAAGTAAATAATCTATGATATTAATGTATGCATCTAGTAAAAATTAGATTTCTGTAAGGAAAGGAGGTTTCGAATGATGATTCAACTAGATAAAACTCTTAATTCGTAAATTACCGTAATAAACGTTTCATAATTTCATAATTTCTCTACCAATCGTCATTATAATCATACGATTATTAATTCTTGCAATAACGATCCCGATATCCTATATATTAATTCTCCACGTTATTCTTATCTTCTGTACAAGCGCGCTTTTTTTTTCTCATTTCCGCAGAGAGCACGAGATACAAGGGAATGACGAAAAGAGGTAGCCGACAAGCCGCCACTAGGACAAGCTTGTGTCTGCTTGTGGCGGCACTCGTGCTGTCCTGTATCACAAGTGGCAACAGGGCCTACGCGCTCCCGCGACCGGAACCGCTGCCGCCAGGTATCTTCATCGGCGATCCCGCAGACGAGGCGGAGAATATCGTGAGTATATGCTCTTATGCTCTTTTCGTTTAATTTCTGGTTAATTATAATAGCTGATGATAATATAATAATTCTATTTTTATATCTATAGTTAATTGTTAAACTGATGGTTTTGTAGTGGTAACGTTCATTAATAGTTTTTCATCTTTCGAAGCCATAGTTAATTTAGTATCATAGATTAATTATATAGCTAGAAAATTATTTTTATATTACCATTGAGTATAAAAAAGTGAGATTAAAACCTCAAGTCTAAACCAAGTTATATCTAGTTTTTATCAACAAGTTACTGATTTACTGTTTCACTGACGTCTTTAAAAAGATAAGACTTCATATTCTTAAAATATATACAAAATTTTGCAATCCGAGAAAAAACGAAATTGTTCTTTCAACTTTGACATCTTTTATTCCTGAAATTAAGTCATTTCGGACATTATTCATATGAAGTTTTTTAAATTAACGTGGAAGATTCTCTTGTTTTTTAAAATCCTTTAGAATATTTACAGTTAAAAAATTGACTGTGCCTTTAAGCACAATCCAGCATTGCCGACGGAGGATTCATTACAGGTTTCACTCTGTATAGTGCATAAATTCCATGAAATTCCAAGAAAATCGTATTATTAATTTAATTATTTTATATCATATCTTTCTTATTGTACTCGGTTGCGCACAGATGTTGGTGAATCGCCTAAAGCAGTTGATCGAGCAGAAGCAACGAGTAGTCGAACAGGAGAACGAGATCACCGACGAGCAAATCGAGATCCAGGCACTCCTGGAGGCGAAGGCGAGGGAACGGGAGCGTGCGATGTTAATGGAACAACCACCGGACTACTCCTCCGGAGAAGCGGAACCGGAAGCGCTGCCGGTACCCGCGGCTATGATCCACGATCATCAACATCCAGGCAAACGACAAGGTGTGAATGCAGTCAGTTGTGAGTATTTCTGACAGTCTTTATTTTTGTTGCAAAGGGAAGATGCAGGTTTGAGTCAAGCCCTATAGAATCACATCAGAACATCGTAATATGATGTCCTGAGACACATCTCGCGTAAAAGAGAATAAAGTGAAAATTATTTGTGATAATAAGTATCTATTCTATTTTTTATAGAAGAAAACCGATGGTAAATGGATGCGAATCTTGATATACAAAAGAACGGTTTTGCTACAGTGTCTAAATATTTAGCTAGTTCTGAAAATTATTTTTTTATCAAAATAATAAAAAATTATATAGAACACACAAGCATGACACACAAAAACACACAAAAAGTTGAGTGTCCTACATAATAATTATTTTGATAATATAACAAAACAATTTTAATTTATTTTCAGCTAAATATTTAGGTACTTCAGCAAATTCGTTCTTTCTCTTTCCTGCTTAAGCACATAAATTTAATTATCAATTAACCGTGAGTTAATCCATTTACTTTCCTTCTGATTTTTATAATTATTAGTACAATTTTATAGAAATATACATGTATACAAAAAGAATGATTTAATTAAAATATTTCAAAGTTTAGCTACATACAGATTTGAAAATAATTTTATTGGATTATCAGAATAATTATATAGGAACGTAAGCTGATTGTTAGAATACCAATATCATTATATTTTCCTACATAATTATTTTTTGATGATGATTTGATGATGAAAATTATTTTTAAATCTGTTTTTACAAAAAAATAAGTTTTTACTAAAAAATAGATTTGTATGAATAATTTAATTGATATATGAATTATAAAACTTTCTTATTTTTTTATTAAAAAATTGTGTCGTTCTCAATCAAAATTTGATTTAATCAAAATTTATGAGACAAAAAAATTAAGTTTCACGCGAAATGGTTGAAGAAAAATACAATAAATAAAAAACGAGAATAAAGCGAGAGAGAGCGGGACTCACAGGAAGAATCTTACGCGAAAACATTCTAGTAACATTGCGACATACCGGTGATATCCGTCAAAAAGATACGTCTGGGACATTCGGGATCATTTTGGCGGTATTTCCGCGGATTTTCCGTAGCCACGTGAAATGATTCGGAAAACATATCGTTTCTCCCAGGATTAGTTAACTGGATCCCAAAAATTGGAAGCTTATGCCGCACACGTTTCAGGAAATCTCGAGAGAATTTTTTTTCATTTTTGGAGAAGATGGTCGAGAACATGTTCTTTTTTATTTCGATGATAAGCATCAAAGGGAAACTATATAGAAAAGAAAGATCGTTTCTCGACTATCGATAATTTCACGAATAAATTCTTCTCGACAATAAATGTATAATACGTATTACATACACGTATACATAGCAATCTGCGTCGCGTTTGATTCGATCGAAGGCGATCGATGACAATTGATTGGAGCAATTGGCGCGTGACGCCATTACATATCTTTCGTTCTCTCTTTGTCTCTCTTTCTTTCGTCTGCGTATCTTTCTTGATTGATTCCTTGAAATTGATTCCTTGATTCGAAAGAGAGATCACCGATCGTAGATTTTTCAACAAGCACTATTTTTACAATTATGTTCATTAAGAAAACGAAAGCAATTTTTTGTCTTCTCATTTACAGCAGGGATAGTTTGTGACGACTAACACTAATTTAAATGCAACTTTAAAAATATTGATGTATTTAATACGCGTGATAATAATTTTAATAGCCTTTAATTTCATTTGAAGTGAATAGAGAAATTAAGTTTTGCTTTTAATTTTAATCTTACAAAGAAAGCATTTTAAATTCAAATATTTTCTTACCGCGGCCTCGAATGTCATTCGTTGCGTTTACAATACGTCACGTGATACAGTAGTGCAAGCGATCTAATAATAATCTAAAAAAGCATGACGACCACTGATATAAAAGCATATTAGACGTTGCATTTTCACATTTTCACATTTCAATTCAAAAAAGAATGCGACTGAAGCAAACGAGACGATCTGTACTGCTCTTCAATAATGAAAACATACGATATGTGAAAAGCGATGGAAATGATTTTGTTAGAATATGTAAAAATTAAGCTAGGTAAAAAATAATTTTGTTAGAATAGTTAGACCATTAGATAATTAGTAAGAGACTCAAGCATAATGAACAATAAATTTTAAATGCTGCCATAAATTTTAATATTTCAGCAACTAGCTTGAACATCCTATATAATTATTTTGATGCTTCAATAAAATTATTTTCAGATCTGTACTTCATTGAATTTTTAGACATTTCAATGAAATCGTTATTTTTGTAAATATATACAAATTTTTAAAAAATTAAATTAACTAAATTAAAAAATTTAATAGGAATATATATATTTCTATTAAATTATAACAAATAATCATAAAAATCAGAAGGACATTATATAGATAGATTAATTCGTGACGATTATTAATTATATTTATTTGTTGATAAGCACGAGTGCAAAAAAAGAATGATTTTACTGAATTTTTTGCACTAATTTCAAATCTGTTTGCCAAATGTGAGAAAAACTTTTTGAGTATCATTAAAGTAGCATTAAAAAATTCCTGTACTTATCCCTTCAACAAATAATAAAATGATTCGCAGGGAATACCTACTGAATTCAACATGATTTTATACTCATTATAAAAGGTTTCACACAAAAATAAATCATTTTAAGTGAGAAAAAGATCCCAAGATACAATAAGGTGCTAACAAAATGTATAAGTTTTTTAAAAAGATCAAATTTGTCGATTAGACATATCTTTTACAACAAAAAATTGGAGCCTGTAAGATAAATCTTAATCTCATTTTTAACATCACAAATACATAAGATTCATCTTTCTCCAAAATTATCCATTTAAACAAAATCTTTGTCGAGTGCTATTGCTCGTTATTAGAACGATCTTGGCATTCGCCAAGATGCAGCTACAGCAACGGCGAGTAACAGATGCGATTTATATTTCAGATATGTCCCTGTGCCACTTCAAGATCTGCAACATGGGACGTAAGAGGCAATCGAAATAAATCTCCGTAAAAGGCAGTCGCGAGAAGTCAGTTCGAAACGGACGGCAGATGCGGCGAGGAGCTGAGGAGCTTGGAGGAGACCTCATTGTGCTTTAAGAAAACATTAAGTAACAGATCAATAAAAAAAACACATCTTGCTACAATCAATTAAATAATCGAAGTGAAGAAGATAGCAACGACGAGCGGTCTTTAGTTGTTTCAATGCTTCTTCTCCGTCCGATTTTTCATTTGAAAAAAGAAAGAAAAAAGTCGGAATCTTGTCGTCTTTAAAGTCGAGTTTCCTGAATTAAAACTCAATAAAATTCAATAAAAAATATTCAATAATTGAATCCATTAAAAAAAAATTTACTTAAATTTTAATAAATATTTATTTAAATCGTAACGAAGTATTTACTTACAATAAATATTTACAATATATTTTCAATAAAAATCAAATTAATAGTTCTTGTACTAAATAAGTATATATTTACATTTAGTATCTAAATATTTAGTTAGTATTATATTAGTATTACAAATAAAAATATTTATTAAAATTGATTAAAATTTTTTTTCAGTATATAAACAAAAGTACTCAATCGTTCTTTTCTATTGAAAGATACGATAAAAAATATAAAAGCAGAGAAAGATATTTGCGATGAAAGAAACGTGATACATTAAAGAAAAAATATCGCTCCTCCTTGCTATTCCTTCGGGATAATGATTGTTACCAGTATTACACACATATACACACGTCACGTTGGATCTATACAGCGCGAAAAGCGTGAATCACGCAAGTCGCTCGACGATTACACAGCACTCCTTAATTAACAAACGTCGAGCCTCATCGAGTTCCTCCCCCTTCCCGTTTGTAACAAAGCACCACCGGACAAAACAACGTGCGTGTGTAGAAAAAAAAAAACTAAAAAAAGAAACGTTATACTCGTTCGAATTAATATCGAAACCGTCCTCGGCCGCCGGACGAAAGCATTGTCTGACTGGTTCGGATGAGAGCTGCGCGAGCTGCCCGACTACGGTTGTCTGAAACTACTTACTGAGATTACCGAAAGATCAACGACGAGGTACAGTTAAGTAAGGATTCGCACTACTCCGAGAATGATGCATGCGAGAGATGTGCAATCCAGGACTAGATACTTTTTAAATTCCTTAGAGTGCAATCTCACTCTAAAGAATAAAAATTGAGCCATTCTTGAAAAAAAACTTGTTATAAGAAATGTAATGAAAAGTTCCAAGAGAAAATAGGATAAGAAAAGAGTAAAGATAGCAACAAACAAATCAATTAAATTCTTCAAAAATTAATAATGTTAATAATGTTAATAATTATAAAGGATTGTTGTAGTTTAAAGTAGAGAAAGTAGGGTAGAAGAATCTTAACAGATTCTGATCGTGCTGATTTTTAAATAAAACTATGAGAAATATACGAGGAAAAAAGCACCCAATTATGAACTGTAGCTGTATAATTTGCTGACGAATTAAAAAACGAAAGAGCAAAGAAAATTATATGTGAACTTAAATTACGACTAAAATTGAATTAATAACTCGATTTCAAGAATATCTCGATTTAATGATAAAGGAAGGAAATCTGTTATATATTTCTTTTTACAAGAAAAAAATTCAAAAGCGTTGCTCGGATTTTATATAAATAACCGATTAAATCGATCGATACATGAAAATCAAAATCTTACTTAAAAGTATCTCATCGATGGTAAAACACGAGAGAGAGTGATTAGATAGTTCCTCTTTTTTTTGCAAAATCATATCGACCGTTTGGAAAAATGGTGTCAATTAAATAATTGAGCGATTAAATAAGCAATTAGTATTTTCGGCGAGAAATAATATATATTATTGTAACAAAAGAATTAGAAAATTTATGATATAAAAATAAATACGATTTATGCCGAAAATAAATAGTTTATGTATTTATCAAATATTGAAACGTTCCTTTAACAATATTATGGATACGTTTACCATTTGGTCCCGAACTTTCTTCCCCCACAAATTCTACTCTCTAAATTCTTTGGAGTGGAATCTCATTCTACAAAGTGAAAATTCCCGAGTCAGTTTTGTGATTCAATTTTCAATCTTTAAGAGTGAGATTTCACTCTTTAGAGTTTTAGAGAGCTTTAGAGAGTAGTAAGTAGAGATTGTTCTCAGCATAACAAGCCATCAAATTAGCAATTTCTGATCACAATAAAAAATAATTCCCAAGAAAAGTTCATCTCGATGATCATTAATGGATTTAAAAAGAGTTTCAATATTCTGATATAAAAAAATATCTCGAATGTTTCAATTTTACTTTGTGTACTTTTTAAAAAACTTGTAGTATGAAATCTCACTCCTAAAACTTGAAAACGGAGCCACTCTTTTTCAAGACTGGCTTAATTTTCACTCTGTAGAATGAGAGTTCACTCTGAAGAATTTAAAGAGTAGAATGATAGATTTTATTATTTGAAAGGAATTATGTATATATTTTTACTATTAATAATTTTATAAATAAATTCTGAAAATTATTCAGATAGATTTTTTGGTTGACCAAACGTGACAGAGACAATTGTCGCTATTGAAAAACTGATGAGAGTAAATAATGTGCAAGATTTCTGCTATGCTGGACGATTATATATAGACACATATATATATATATGTATCAATCAATGAAAAAAAAAGAGAGAAAAGAAGTGGAAGAACTTGACCAGCTGTGCGCCAATTATTTAATTGACACCAATCGAACCATTTTCTCGGTCGTGCTTGACAGATCGAATAATAAAGCAGCAACAAAAGACACAAGTAGGAAGAAAGAAAGAGTAGCAAAAAAAAAGATTCGAAGAAAAAGCTCTCCTCCTCGCTTGCGTCGCACAGACGCTCTTGTGACGTAAAAAATTTATCTAGCACTAACGGACTACGCGCGAAGATTTCGTGAGGAAAGTATGCAAAAGAGGGACAAAATACATCGCGTTTAAAATGGAAAATCGTCGGCACGAAATCACGAACAAGCGACTGAAAGACGATCTTGATCGCGCGCGATCCAAGTTAGAATACGAAAACTATTGACTTGGCCTCGTCTATATTTATTATTACCATTGTTATTATTACTACTATCGCCAAATATTGTTACTATAATTAGTTGAGTTAAGCCGAAGGAACGCGCGTGCCGAATCCGTTTTCGAGACAATCAAGAGACACGAGGTCTGTCCACGTTACCTGAAGTCTGCAAAAATGTTTGTACTTAAAAAAGGAGATAAATATATTATACATATATTCAGATGTTGAAGAGAGAGAAAGTGAAGATGCTAAGTGCAAAAAAACACGAGCAACGCGGATGGATCTAATCTAACAATACAAAATTGAAATAAAAGACATTTTAAGCATCTTTAGGTGTCACACTATTCTCTGAATTTTTTAGAAGTTTTACTCTAAAAAATGAAAATTGAGTCTTGTAAAAGAGTGGTTCAATTTTAAGAGCGAGATTTCACTTTTTAGAGTAAAATCCACATTGAAAGTTTTAGGAAAGTTTTATTGGAAATTAAGAATTGCGAATTAAAGACAAGAATTCGAGCCAGGTCATTTTTATTTTTATTTTTATTATTTTTATTTATATTGATTGGCTTTCTAATCTTCAATTCGCAATCCTCAATCTCCAATGTAATGTGACACGAGCTTTAGACGATGCTCGTAAAAAAATCTTATGTCTCAATTTTAGATTTTATGTTATCTAAACAGTATCGAATGTCAAACTCCCAAACACTAACTAACACTAACATAAGTTAGTTAGTTTTAATTTCTCACTTAACAATATAACTGTATTCTCTAAATTTTTGGAATGGAATCTCACTCTAAAGAATGAAAAAAATTGAGCTAATTTTTGAAAAAGAGTGTTTCAATTTTCAATCTTTAAAAGTATGATTTTATTTTTCAGAGTGAAATTAACTCTAAAGTTTAAAGAATAATTCAACACATTACAGTTCTCAACAAATAGCAACTAAAATTAATATAATTGTTAGTTCCAATTTACCATTTAACAATATAACACATATTGAGTGAGAAATTATATTAATAATTGAGGAGCAGACTTTCAAAATGTGTTTTGTCCAAAATTTGTAATTTTTAAGAAACGAGAAAGAAAGAAACTCTGCATACAAGAACATTATGCACTTTACAGAAAATAACAATATGCCAATCAATGGATGTAAAAAAAATAAACAAAATTGTTAAACAAATTTAAATAAATATTAATTGCTAAAAAATGTTAAATAAATGCATTTTGATTGTTTCTAAAATATAATACACTTTGAAATGTCTATGAATTTTCAGCACATAAATTAACGAAAAAAATGCTTTCTGAACATCTCAGAGTAGCTTGTAATATGACTCAACACTGAATACTATGCCATTTCTAACTAAAAAAATGAAATTTTGGACAAAATATATTTTGAAAATCTGCTCCTCAATTATTATTAGTTAATATTAGTTAATGAATTGCTGAATTATATGACGAGAAAAGTATAATTAGCAAACGTTGCTGTTAGTTGGTGTTTGCTGAAGTAATGCTCTACACAATATAATCAATCAATTCAATTATTAGTAACTCGCCATTACTTGAATTCGCTGATGCATTTCGAGAATATTTGACGAAAATAATCAATGGAGGAGGAGATGAAGGAGGGCACCCGCATTCCTTCGTTATTTATGAATCGGCAAAGTCCGACCGTTTCTTCGAGAGAAACGCAATCGCTTCTTTATTTATTTAACTAACAATTATCTCGTAGAGCTTTGTGGTATTATCTCCCTCCCCTCCTATCTGTAAATTAATGCTTTTGCGCTTAATTCATAATCGATGATGCTTCTTTCTATTTTCACCTTTATTATATATTTGTCAATTGAATGCACCTTTCTAGGTCCGATTCATTAAATTCGAATAGGGACACGAATGAGAGAGAAAAAAAAATAATGAAAATAAGTAGAAAAAGGAAAGATCCCGATATACAACGCGCGAATCGACGCATGTACTTCAAACAATGCTAACGATAATAAACTGTATCATCATAATTCTTCTCGTTTATTTATCCCGTTTTTATTTTTATGCGTCTAGATGACCCTATGATATAAAAATATTAGGTGTAACATTCTGGTGGAAGCGTATAATGGTGGTTGCTGGAGTAGTGTTCTATGCGATGTAATCAATCAATCCAATTTACCAGTAACTCGCCATTACTTGAATTCGCCGATGCATTTCAAGTATATTTTGCGTGAATAATCAATGAAAGAGGACACCCACATTCGTTCATTATTTATGAATCACCAAAGTCCAACCGTAAAACATTTGTGATCAATCAGAAATTGGCTCCAAAGACGGCATTTTTTAATTAAAAATTTAAGCCAAATAGTTTTAGTGACACAAGTTTTACATATTTTGATGAAGGCGATAACCAAGAATATATTACAGAATCTGATTAACTTAGGTTAAATTTTTTTGAGATTTGAGTAAGAACGGCAACGAATTGCATAGAAATTTTAACAAAATGTTAATATTAATTTTGATTTTAAATTGAGATTTAAATAAAAATCTATTTAATATCAATTATAAATATTTGTTTTCTTACGTTTATCATGAAAAAAATGTTTGTTATGAAAATAAGATATAATTGTATAATAAAGAAATTTATAGTTTTAATTATACATTTTTTCCTTTAACAATTTTTTCATTAACTTTACTATTTATACAATAATTAATTTGAGAAATTTAAGTAGTTTAATTGAAAGTATTTATTTGTGGAATTGAAATTATATTAATTCAATCCTGCCAAATTATATTCCACTATTATTATTATGGATGGTCAGTTTGAATGTTTGAAATATTTCTCTTTGCAGTATTCATTCAAAAAGTAACATAATATTATCACGCAAAAAGTAATATATTCTAGTGTGGAACAAGGTTGCTTGTTTGAGACGATTTTTGCAGGAAATGCGACGGAGAAGAATTGGAATTTATATATACCTGTAACAATTATGAATGTTTTGTGATGAAAGTGAGTCTCTGTTTCGTAAATCGAAGCTGCAATTTCTTTTACGACGATATTAAAGACAGCGTTTCAACAATAGCGAATTTTGCAATAATGGTAGATAAAATTGATATTTCTGAAAATGAGATTTAGAAAACGTTTGGTATCGGAAGAATCTGAAGAAATCGAGAACTGGAAAATTGAACGAACGCACAAGAGAACAAATCAGAAAGCGCATCATTGTGCCATCTGTCATAAAGATGGGAAGTAAAACGAGAGAGAGAGATAAGGAGAGCTCCGCACAATAAAAGGTGCAATTCAAATCGGAGGTGTCCATTTGCTCTTTTACCTCGAAAATCTTTCGCATCTTTTTGCTACATGTCATCTCATCTGCCTTCAATATTAACATTTCTAGAACCAATCGAGCTGCTCGATCCATTTCGAATTCAAAGACCGAGCTAATGCAGATTTTCGCGCTTAAATTAAATTCATAACCTGTATATTTATAATAATGCTATCAAATAAAAAATTGATGGAGTACATTATATATAATATTTAATGAGAAAAGTTTTTAATTCTTTTCCTCTTTATAATATATTAAAGACTCTAACGAATATAAATCAAGTGATATAACTTATAAATTGCAGAAATTTATTTGTGCAATGTAGTATTTTCTTTTAAGAAAACACATCTTGCATACGAGTCTGTTACATTCATGTGTAACGATCTATTTTTAGTACATAAGGCTATTATCAGTTTTTAGTAAAGCGAAACAAATTTTCAATTAAGAGGGTATTTTTTATTTATTCATAAAAATAAACAATTTTATTTTATAATTTATTCTTAAAGGACAGTTACAGTTCTGTAGCGTTTGGAATTAATTCTTGGCACTCGGATTTCGGATTGCTTGAAGATCACGTGATCAAGCTCGCCATCTGCTAGCTTGCATCTCAGATTTATATTATCGAACGCACCTAAAAGAAACAGGAAACAGAGAATAAGAATTTCAACCTATCAGAAATTATGTATTGAGGAATGCACAGATTGAAATTCTTATTCTTTGTTCTCTGTTCCTTTTTTGTGCGGAACATATCCTAAAGCCGGTTCTACAAAACTTGCATTTTGAAATCAATACTTCATATTGGCTATCGCAACAAACTTCCGATCAGCTTGCAACTAACATAGAACCGGCTTAAAGTGTGCGGTATGATAAATACATATAGCTATCATATCGAAAATATATATACTATAATCGTGCCTTTTGGTCATTCGTAACTTATCTACTTTTCAGAGTTGCGTTCCAAAATTCATTTTGTCAACTCCGAATATCATTTTATCTTTGTTGGTAACTGATGTTAAATAAAAATAAAAGATACTCAGAATTAAAGGATAACAGAGTTAAGTTTTGGAACGCAGAAATTTTGGAACCCAGAAATATTAAGAAAGAGAGAATCTACAAATTTCTTTTCTTAAAATTTTTCTGTATATGAATTCTGTAACGTGTAGATTTTCTCGAAAAATATTATTTGTATAAAAAATCTGAGAAGTTTAAAAAATTATAAAATTATTCATAATTCTGAAAAATTGTAAAAAATTAAAATATAAGAATCTGAAAAGAATTATTAATGGACATTGAGATTTTCAATATGATAATATACACCGTGTGTATTATAGTTCGCAAGACATCTATAATAGCATAGAATAATATAATATGAGCCAATATGGAGTAATATTAAATATTGAAGTAATATCAAAAAGAACTAGAGCACTAACTAAATGCAGGAAACCTTCAGGCTGACGTTTCTCCCTAGTCAGGCAAAATAACCTCTTTGACTGACGTGTTCACACACTGCGCTGTTTGTCTCGAATCTCCCCATCTATAATTTCTGTCCGTAAAAATCCGTGAATGACAAGTAATGAACACTCACCGAAATAAAATATAATTTTACTCCGATCTGCGACAAAACGATTTTGCGAGTTTTGCGCTATTTTACATACACTGTAGCACAAGAAGGTTACAATCGTTATGAATCGTTACAAAAACGTGCGCACGCGTTTGCATTTTATATAACGAAATACCGGCCTCGCGCAGACTGTTTACCAACGTCAAAGTGATCACACTGCGTCACATACACACACATACAACACACACAAATAAGTAATCTCTAATAAAAACTCTTCCATAGATATATCTTACGTAGATACAACACGGTATAAAATGTTCATGCATGAATATATACATGCATACACACACACACACACACACACACACACACACACACACACACACACACACACACACACACACACACACACACACACACACACAATACAAACCACTTGACCGATTTTCAAAAGCAAACATTTTAGAAACGTCTTTTAATTATAATTAAAACTATATTTTTAAAAATTCTTAAAAACTACTTTTGACAAAAATTTTTAATTTTTTCTGGAATTCTCTCCGTCATACTTTTTATGGTGATCTCGGTCACTTTCTCGGATACTCTCTTTCTTCGCTGTTTTTGGACTCAGAAAACCCTTTTTCCTTCCAGATTCTTCTTTACGGTTGATAGTCAAGTCCTTGAAATGCCTAATGACTATTGACACCGTTTTCCTGCAAACTCCCGCCTCTCGCGCGATTTTGATGAAACTCCACTCCGGGTGTTCTTGAAATATTTTGATTATGGATTTGCATGTTTCTACGTCACTTGCCATTTTGCAACTGAGAACAAAGCGGTTACGAAACTAACTGTTTCAATACATCGTTTCTTACATTCATTGCAAAGCCTATTAAATTAAAAAATTGTTTTTTTTTTAAAGTGATTTGGAGGATATGTGAATTTTTGTATGAGGTTT